TCAATGGCCAACCAGTTCCTCTGGAGGACCAACAACAGGGCACAGAGGCCGAGGTCTTCATTAGAACATAAGAACAGCCCTGCTGGATTAGACCAGTGGTCCATCTAGTCCAGCATCCTGTCTCACACCGAGGCCAACCAGTTCCTCTGGAGGGCCAATAACAGGTCATAGCAGGCTGAGGCCTTCATAAGAACATCAGAAGAGCCCTGCTGGATCAGAGCAGTGGCCCATCTAGTCCAGCCTCCTGTCTCAACTCAATGGCCAACCAGTTCCTCTGGAGAGTCAACAAACAAGGTGTAGGGGCTGAGACCTTCCCGATGCTGCCTCCTGGCACTGGAATTCAGAGGCTGACCACCTCCAAATGTGGAAGTACCAATTTAGTCACCATGGCTAGTAGCTGCTGATAGACCTCTCCTCCATGAACCTGTCTAACCCCCTTTTAAAGCTGTCTATGCCTGTGGCCATCACTACATCCTCTGGCAGTGGATTCCTCATTTCCAGCTGCACCCTATCCCACACAGAATAAATGTGGGATTTGGGCATGCCTAAAATCCTAGATACCTTTGACAAATAAAAGGTAACGAGACTGGGGGGAGACCTCAAGGCTCAAAGGCCTGGCAAGCCACATGAACACAGGAAGCTGCCCAAACAGACCACTGGTCCATCAAGGTCTGTATTGTCTATGCAGACCGGCAGTGTTTCTCCAGGGTCTCAGGCAGAGGTCTTTACCATTACCCGGAGAGCCAGTTTGGTGTAGCGGTTAAGAGCGGCGGACTCCAGTCTGGAGAACCAGGTTTGATTCCCCACTCCTCCACATGCAGCCAGCTGGGTGACCTTGGGCCAGTCACAGTTCTCTCTCAGCCCCACCTGGCTCACAGGGTGTCTGCTGTGGGGAGAGGAAGGGAAAAAAGCTGCCCTGAGACTCTGAGTGAAGGGTGGGGTATAAATTCCTCCTTGGGATCAGACCTGAGACCTTCTGCATGCTATGCAGATCCTCTATCACTGAGTCATGGTCCCTCCCCAGCAGAAGAGAACAGAAAATATTAAGCTGGGTGGGGCAACGATTCCATGCCCTATGAGGCAACTTCTACTTTTCCTTCTACCCTCCACTGATAACTGTGGTAAGAAATTTTAGAAATATAGAAGGTTTGGGTTTAAAATGAACCAAATAGTTTATGAAATCCATATATATCTGTCTCTGCCCTTGCTAGCAAACAGACTAGTCCTTTTTTCACTGAAGATGTAACACATTCCATTCCCAGGAAATTCCCAGGAAATCTCCACAGATGTGAGATTTGCCAATACCCCCAATTTCCTAGGCAATAAAATGTGTGGCCATTTGGGCAGCTGGCAGACTTCAATCCAAAAGACAATCTAACTTCCTGAGGTACAGGAATTCACACACCCCATCTCAGCAAACATCAAAGGACAGTTCATTTCCCATGATTGGGGAACACCTGGAAGAAAACAATGACGCTGTATTGATCCTGTAAAATGTGTACACTTTTGTTGTGTAAGACCAAGGAAAGGATGCAAATTTCCTGCAAGACAATTTCAACTTCTAAATGTTAATTTACAACTGTAATTTGATTATTGAGGGACCCCTTTTATCTTTGGTATAAATACTGGTCAGATCCAACAGACTCTCGCTGACTCTTGGTAGGAGTCAGTCTGAGAGGCCTCTCGTTCGCTGCATGCCATGGGGTGGGGGAAACTTTGCTTGCATGTTTATTTTTCTGTGTATTCTATCAATGTTTAGGAAATAGGATTCTACTGTGTTGGCAGGCTGGCATAGCGTCTTGCTGGTCATCTTGCCAGGCAAATGTCTGAATGTGTTTCTATAATAAAGATAAGTTTTATTTTAAGAAGAGACCTTTGAATGTATCTGCCAGAGCCTTAGTGATTTCCAAGCTTACACCTCTGCCTTTGGTAAGGAGGCGACACTCAGGAGACACGAACTGAGGGGAGAGTGTGGGTGACACGGGTAAACACGCTTTCACAGACACAACAAGCCACACACATAATATCTCACAACAATAACTACACAACAGCCTTGATGCACACAGTTCTCCTATGTCTCAAGTATCCAGAGGGCTCAGGAACAGAACCTCTTTTTGCACCAGTTCTGGGTCTGACCAGCGATTCAAGCGACAGTCACCTCCTAGACTCCTGCAATTCACTCTATGCAGGGCCGCCCTTGAAGGCGCTTCAGAAACTTCAGGCTGTTCAGAATGTGACTGCCAGGCTGTTGACTGATTCACTGAGGGCTGCAGACACTCAGCCCATTTTGCGGCAACTGCACTTCCTTCCAATTGGTTTCTGGGTCAAATAAATACATCCCTTCCGACTTCAGGGCTCTCAACATCTGACCTGCCGGCCACCCTGATTCTTAACTGGTGCCAGGAGCAGATTAAACTTGCACCTTCTAAAAGAGCTTAAACGTGGATGCTGCCCCGTCCCCAGACGACTGTCACCTTCCGAATTTTGAGGGGATTACTCTCAAAAGCTGATTACTAGAAATCCCCAGCTGCTCCACTTCCTTAACACACACACAAGATGCCCACTCTTGCCTTCCTATACTCTAATTACTTCCTTACTATAAAGAGATGTAAATGAAGGACCAATTCAAACAGCTGCTGTGGGAGGTTTTTTTTACCCATCTGTGCTTTTCTTCTAACTGAATCATTGTACAGGTAGCGGACTCAACGTGCATACAGACCTGGCATGAGTGTGATCTTCAAGACAAAATTCAAGACAGTGATTTGTGGGTGTCCTACTGATTTTTTGTGTGTGGGGCAAACCATTGCTTTGGTGGGTACACCTTCAGACAACACAGGAAAACATGGCCTGCATTCAGAAGGTACAAACACATCTCTGCTTGCAATACGCAGGGATGTGGGCTTGTTTCTTGCACTTGTATGTTCCCTCCCTTCCCTCCTTATATCCGGAGCAGGATTGAAAGTTACCCTGTTTTAGATGGATACACCTATTTTACAGACACCCGATTACCAAAAACAATTTTATGTGGCTCCTGATGCCTTGGATGTAGGTCTGGGGGCTGTGTTGTTACAGGATTACGAAGGCAGTCAAACATCCAGTAGTATATATTTAAGAAGCATGACTTAATCAGAATGTCATGTTTTTGAAAACAGGATCCCGGACAAATTGTCCAGTCTGGGAAAACACACTCCCAAATTTTCAAGACATTCTGCTTTTGGAGCTCGGTCAAACTGGAGAGCATTCAACTACTCTTCATACAGGAAAGGAGGAGGAAGGAATGATGGGACAGTGCGTGAACACAGCAACCATATGACTGTGCCGTCGCCAACAAAGCTTCATTTTAAACTGGCGTTTTCTGTGATGTCTGAAGGCAGCCAGTATGCGCATGCAGTGAAATACACATGCCAAAATTGTGTGCATTTATCGAAACGTATTTCACGCTCCCCCCCTCCCCTTCATGGAAGTGTTTTGTGTGTAGGAGAAGCACGTATACTAATCTGCAGGGCTCATTTCTTGCGGGAGCGCACAGGAGCGGAGCTCCGGCAGTAAGGAGCCCAGAGGGCGGGACCATGCAATAAGCCCCGCCCCCTGCTCCCAGCAGCCCTCAGTCAGGCCACAAGGAGCAAGAAGCAGCCAGGTAGGTTGCAGAGCTCCCCCCCATCCCACCTTCACATACAAGCTCTCCCTCCTCTGCGAGAACAGATCTGCACGTTCCTCCCCCCCCCAATAGCTAGCAATCCAAAACAGTCCAGTGGAGCCTGAGCAGTGGGTGTTGCCTTCTGACACACTTCCAGTGATGCCAGGGGGTGTGGCATATGCGAACAAGTTATGCTAATGAGCTCCTGCACCTCTTTTTCTACGAAATGACCCCTGCTAATCTGGATACATGTAGGGAGCATGTGAGAAGGGGGGGGGTTAGAAGGTGCCATGTGTGGAGAGAAGAGGAGTTGTGTATGTAAAGTGAAGTGTGCATGGGAGGGCGCAGCGCATAAGGAGACACTTGAATGTTCTGGGCAGTTAGAGCTGGTGAGTACTGCCTTTGACACTGAACACAATATTTTGATCAGCTGCCACTTCGAAGAGGCATGGCTGTTGCGAGAACCGGCAGACGTAGCCGGGGCCCTGCTCTTTTAAAGATGTACAGTCTTTCCTGGCTTGCTCTCTACTACCAACATAGATGTGTCATTACAGTACTGACGGTTATGAGAAGAGATGGGGGGGGGGGAAACAATCATTCAGGATATGAAATTGAAGGCTTATTCTTGGAGGGATTTGTGGGGATTAGAGACTCCCGTGAGGCAAACCCAGGAGGTCTCAAGTTCTCACCGGGAGATTGGCTTGGCAGATGCACAAGGTCTTCCGAGTCTGCATGAGACTGTTAAGTTACTGAAAGCACAGACTCTGCAACATTCAGGCAAGATAATAATGAGCGATGAGAAAGAACATTCTGTGAAACACACTGTGATTTAGTGAGAGGCTTCTTCTATATCGTAACGTTTTCACTGTACTATGTGTGATTGACTGCTCGATTATAATAAAACGCTGCTGACAGGCAGTTGAGGAGCAGAGGACAGTTGGGACAGAGAGAGAACTGAGCTTGGTCAGACAGCTTGTACAAATCTCTGTGTGCTGTGTCGTTATTGAACCCTACCAAAGTCTACATGCAGCCACAATCTGTTGAGTTAGTTTGCAGCCGCGCCGTGCGATTCATCAAGTTATCCCACTTCGTGATCTGGACATGCGTGCCCTCCGAAATGTCCCGTCAGGCCCGCGTGCTTGTGCAAAGAGCTTCTCGTTCAGGCCACGGATCACCCGTTCAAAACAAGACGACACAGAGACATACCCGACCACGACGGCAGAACAAGTTATAAAGGTGCTACGTGCAAACCGCCCCCCCCAACAGAGACGGCGATTAAAAGGTTGCATTCCAAAGTATCAGGCAACGGGAGAGTTCGGACGGGGGAGGCCCTTCTCTTGCTCTCCCACATGCGATGTGTTACCTGCTGCCTTTGGTAAGCGGAGAACGTCCTCTCGAGATCTTCCAGGTCCAGCACCTTGAACACCTTTGCATCGTCTATGTCTGTCCACACGGTGCCTTCTAACTTGTTCTGGGCAGGGGGGGCGGCGGAGAGAGGCACGAGGAAAAAGAGAAGGAGAGGAGAGAAACGTCACTCATTTTAAATGCCACATTTTTGTAATATTGAACAGAAACGTATCCAATTAAGTTCATCTATAGGACTGTCTTTCTGCCCAGTGGAACACACCATCAACCTCCCTGGCAGGTAGGGTTACCAGGTCCCTGCCCCCCTGGCAGGGGATGGGGGGGGTCCTTGGGTTGTCAGATCCAGGTTGGGAAACGGAGCCTGGGGAGGACAGAGACCTCAGAGGGGTACAACGCCTTAGAGTCCACCCTCCAAAGCATCCCTTTTCTCCACTGGCACTGATATCTGTAGTCTGGAGATGAGCTGTAATTCCAGAGAATCCCCAAGTCCAGGCCCATAGCTACGGAGGGTCTTTTGGGGGCTCCACCCCCTCTCTTAAAGGCACAGCCCCACAAGAATTTCCATAAATGCTTTTATCAATCGTTTTAAAACGTTTTCAAAGGTGTGTGCTCCTTTAAGCAGAGTGGGGTGCTGCAGTTGACCCATTCCTGCACTGAGCAAGGGGGTTGGAGTAGGCGACCTCCAGGATCCCTTCTAACTCTGTGTCAAGAAAGTGGTCTCTTGAAGCTTAAAAATATTACTAATGGAAGTATGTACTCAATAATTACTCTATTTAGTGATTAACTAGAAGAAAAATGTAATTATGCTTGCTTGACTTGTTGCTGTTTAGAAGATTTTTGTTGTATAGGGTGTTCTGGATGGAATAATAATAATAATAATGATAATGATAATGATAATGATAATGATAATAATAATAATAATAATAATAATATTTATTTAAGATATGTTATAGGTTTGTGCACTATAGTGAAAACTCAATAAAAATATTTTAAAAGGGGGAAAAAAGAAAGTGGTCTCCTTTAAGAGAGAGGTTTTCTGCCTAAGTGTTCGCTTTCTTGACTCTAGAAGTCAACACCCCCGCACCTGTCGGCTTGTTCTCATAATGGTTGCTTAGGCTGGCAGAAGTGATTAACTTGCAGCAGCTGAGAACTGTCCTCTAAAGTGATTGACAGCTTGCAATTTAGAGATCTATCCTGGTCACGGCTTTCTATTGGCTGAATGGCTTTCCCCCCCCTGCACTGAGAACTTCAACCCCACCAGGTAAAAAACTTCCCCAGAAGCCACAACATCCTGGCTACGGGCCTGCCAAGGTCCCGCCTGGAGGTTGGCATGCCTACTGGCTGGTCATCCCATTTTTAAGTGTACATTTTTCTTCTCTGGAAAAAACCAGGCTCAGTGGCAGAGCATCTGCTTGGCATGCAGGAGGTCCCAGGTTCAATCCCTGAAATCTCCACTTGAAAGGACCAAGCGGTAGAAGAAGCAGAAGACCTCAGCCTGAGACCCTCGGTGAGAAAGCGTGCGTGCACACAAAATCTTACACCCTGAATAAAACTTTGTTGGTCTTAAAGGTGCTGCTAGACTCAAACTTTGTTCTGCTGCTTCAGGCCGACACGGCGACCCCCACCTGAATCGATTTCCAAGAGAGTTGTCAGGAAGGGGCCGTGGCTCAGCGGAAGAGCCTCTACTTGGCATACAGAAGGCCCCTGGTTCAATCCCTGGCATCTCCAGTTAAAAAGGCCCAGTAGCAGGTGATGTGAAAGACTTCTCCCTGAGACCCTGGAGAGCTACTGCCAGTCTGAGTGGACAACACTGACCTTGATGGCCCAATAGTCGGATTCAGTATAGGGCAGCTTCATGTGTGTTCAGGTCTGTATGTGTGTCCTGACTGGTAAAACCCCAGTTCTGCTGTGCTCCGCTGCACTGCGGACTCAGTAGCTGACTGAGGGAAGCTTAGCCAATTATGATATGCTGTAGACCCAGTCACATTAGAGCTTGCTACAGGAGGAGGAGGAGGAGGAGGAGGAGGAGATTGGATTTATACCCCGCCCTTCACTTGGAGTCTCAGAGCGGCTTACAAACTCCTTTCCCTTCCCCTCCCCACAACAGACACCCTGTGAGGTGGGTGGGGCTGAGAGAACTCCGACACAAATTGCTCTTTTTCAAGGACAGCTATGCCAGAGCTTGTGACTGACCCAAGGTCACATCAGCAGGTGCAAGTGGAGGAGTGGGGACTCAAACCCGGTTCTCCCAGATTAGAGTCCGCACACTTAACCACTACACCAATTACAGAATGACAAACCTGAAGAAGGACACGCAGACGGATAGTGTACTAGAACGCCGTCGTTTGTCTGTAACTAGTACTGTATTCCTCTGTGTGTACTGCTAAGCTTTATATCGCACATTGTAGTGTCACTGTTGTAATTTTGTTAATAATTGAATTCTAAACATTGCATATAAAACCCAACAAATATTGTTTAATTGTACACGGTGATTTACTGTTTTACTAGTCGGTAGCTGATCAGGCATCAAGGCAGATGAGAAGGGGTTCTTTACCTCTGCCAGCTTAGACCAGTTGAAGGACTTGAGAGCGTTGGTGGGCTGTGGGATGTTTTTCCTTTTCAGTGCCGATCCCAGAGGTGCTCCCGGAGGGGGAGTGATGCCACCTAGAGGAGGGGGTCCCGGCGGAGGGGGTGGACCGCCCGGAGGCGGTGGCGGAGGAGGCGGTGGCGGGAGGATCCCACCAGGTGGGGGTGGTGGTGGAGGAACTGGGAGAAGAGATCCCACAGACGAGGTCGGTAAGGGGCCCCCGGGGGCACCTGGGGGTAGCGGGGGCCCCCCTGGTACTGACGCGCATATTGCTCTCTGAAAGAAAAAAAGAAGACACCATGACAGCATGAGCCGCAGGCAAGATGAAAGCACGGGTGGGTGATGTTTGGTCAGATTGTGGTTTGGTGAGCTGTGATGGGTCCAGCAGCCAGGGCTTTTTTTTTGGTAGGAACTCATTAACATAATAGGCCACACCCAACAGAAGAAACTCATTAGCATATTAGGCCACACCCCCGACAGCACGGCACATTAGCATATTAGGCCACACCCCATGCCTCCCCTTGGTTTGCCTGGGTGCCCCACAGTTGCGGGGAGCCCGGGCAAGCCGGCCCTTGGACAGGCCAGGGGAGGCACGGGGAGGCATTTAAATGCCTCCCCGATCCTTCCAGAGCCTCCCCGGCCTGCCCACCTCGGAGTTACCGGGGGGCGGGGTCGCTCTCCAGGCCTTCCCTCTGTAGCCACGCACTCAGAGGTTTTGGCTGTAGTGGGCGTGGCCAACTCTGAGGCCAGCTGGAACTCCATTCCTGTGCGTTTCTGCCCCAAAATTGCCCTGGGTCCAGCCATTCACAACTTTAAACGGATTAATGGAGGAGAGGTTTATCGGTGACTACTAGCCACGGTGACTAAAGGGGACCTCCCTCCTGATTCACACCTATACCAAGCATGGTGACGGGTCTAGATGCAGATTCAGAGGAGGTGATACGAGGGCTCGATGTAGCCTACCACCCAGGGACCAATCCCAGCTTAGCTACAACCGTCAGCTTCTCCCAGACATTCACCATGGCGCCATCCTCTTGAAATTCCCTCTACGTGAGAAAGAACCAAGATGGTCTGGCTCAAGTGGGGTGGTCTCACTTGGGCAGATACGCTAGCCGCATTTAATTCACGCCTTCCTGGGGTTGCCGGGCTGAGCCTGACAACCAGCAGGAGGACTGGAGTGGGTGCAGACATATGACATCGCCAACATCACAGTGTCACTTCCGGGTACAACCCAGAAGTGACGTAGTGATGTTGGTGATGTCACATGTTGCAACCTGGAAGTGACAAGTGGGTAACTCTAGGAATCACCAGAAACTCTATGGCAGCAACAGCATTGGTCACCAACCCTATGCCTTTAGGCAACTGCACCTCTCCAAAATGTGAAATATCTTCCGCTCTGTTTGCTCAAGCCAACTGTGTAACTCATCTATTAGGCCACTAGCAAAGGGGAAATCTTTGCGTACTGCCCATGAAAGAGGATAACCAGTTGCCCGGCCTCACCCTGCTGAGTTCGTGGATCTGTGCCGTGAGGTCCACCACTTGCTGCTTGACCTGCTTATGCTCCGCCAACTCTTTCTCCAGCTTCTCCTTCATCTTATTCAAGGTCTGCATCATCTCCTCTTTCTCCTGGGTCTTGGCGTCGCACTCGCGCTCCTTCTTTTCCAGCTTCTGCTGGAGCTCATGATGTTCTTTTTTTGAAGAGAAAGAGGAAGAAGAAGAAGAAGAAGAGGAAGAAGACCTTTGTTAGAAATGCATAGGAATGGAGATCTCTCATTTCTACTCATATCTGACGAAAGGAGAGCTGACTCTTGAAAGCTTATACCCTGAAAAACTTGTTGGTCTCTAACTGACTCGAATCTAACTGGTTTGCTAAAGAAATGCAAGCATTCCCCCTCTCAGGAAGTACTAAGGAAGTCTACGTTGCATACTGGTATTGAGAGTTCAGGATTGGGGACAGTTCATAAGTCACCCTAACTTCCCCCTCCCATCTTCAACCCAGCTTCAGACTCCACACAGCCAACTTAGAACCCTAAGAGGTGAAACCCACCGCCGCATCCCTGAGCTGACGCCTCCCACCTCTGTGATGTCACTTCCTCTCACCACCACGGATCTAACTGAAGTCACATCGCTGGTTCCTCTACCTAATACCCTCACCGGCACCACAAGTTGTCAGGCAGAGATCTATCACCAGCCTACTGTCCAAGACCCTTTCACTCTGTAGTCTTAAGGAAGCAAAACACTTTCCGAGTCGTTGACCTGGTGTGGCCCTATCACGATCTGGGCTGTGCAAGCAAAGGCCTAGCAGGCCCAGGGAGCCTGAGTAGCAGTGGGAGGAGGTCAGGCCTACAGCTCCCAGAAGCCCCTGAGAGGTTCTGGCGCCAATTTTAGCCAATCACAGAGAAAGGGGACTTATAACAAAAGAGCTGGTACAGAAGAAGAGCTGTTCTTTCCTCCAAGAGAGCAGGGCCAGGCTGCTGCTGGGAGAGACCCTCACCCTGAGAGGAAGGGTGAGCAGACTGAGGGCCCCACTGAGACAGTGGACTAGGGACTGTGGAGTCTAGTCGCATTAGGGCATTTGGTTTCTTTTCTCTTCACCCACTTCTCGTTATTGTTCTTGCACATTGTCGTTTCCCATACTGGGCTGACCTTCTGTAAAACTAAACTTTTTATGTGTTGTTTACTCTGCCTGGTCCTCACGCCTATTATCTGGCCAAATAAGGGAGGTCTGAAGGTCTTGGGAGGGTGCTCTGGGCCTTCTCAAGGGATCCTAAAACCAGAGTGGTGGCAGCGTCACCTGAGCCGTGCCAGGCCCTTTTGCTACCTGCTGTGCTTTAGGAAGACCAGGTTGCTATTGTTTCGGAGGGTGGCCGTGTTGCTCTGCAGTAAAATAGTTAGATTCGAGTCCGGTAGCTCCTTAGAGGCCATCAAAAATTTCAAGGTATACGGTTTTGAGAGTCAAACCCCCTTTGACTATATATGCAATAGTTACACAACCTCTTGCACCCATTCCTTTCTGAAGCCAAAAGATTTGTTTTTATATAAATCATTTTTGTACACATCATTCACCTTTTCGCATTTTTTCTGCTTGCTCCTTCCATTGTTTCACTTCATTTTCATTAACCAACCTGCAAAAAGAAAGGCGTGTGAATGCCCTGTTCACGAAACACACAGACATCCATGGGACCCCCCCCAGTTTTCAGTAGACGGGTTGGTTATTCCAACTGCCTCCTGCCTTCCTCAAAAACACATCACTTAGCTGGAGTCACAGAATCCAGACTGCAGTTGTTGTTTTTTCTTGTGACAAACAATGATTTTAAATTTGTGTTAGGAATGAACAGTCATATGTTAACATGGGAAGTTTTCGAGTTTTGTATTCGGTTCGAGGGATGGGGTAAAGAGCTCTTACATTCGGACGACGTTTTTGATGTTGAAGTTTTCCAGGGGTGTCGAATCTGGGTCCTGCCCCTTGTCATTCTGAATCACAATTTGTTGTATAATGCGGTCCAACAGCAGCCAGTAATGCACAGTGTTGCCATTTCTCTTATCTAAAACGAGGAGAAGGGGGGGGGGGAAGTGACATGAAATCGGAGGATCTCCTCCCTTCTGCAGCATCAAATCAGAAATGGACAGGGGCGAGCAGACCCTTCCCTGGAAAGACGGGATAATCAGATTTCAAATCACTAAGGATGAAACAGACAATAAAACTCTAGACGCATCGAAAATGATGTGCAATTTCAGCGCTCTGAATTCCAGTGCTCTGGTTATAAAAAGCTCTCCTTCTTTGGAGGTTTTCAAGCAGAGGCTAGATGGCCATCTGATAGCAATGCTGATTCTGTGAATTTAGGCAGATGGGGGGGCAGGGAGGGTTGGCTCAGTGCTTAGTTCTCGGGGTCCTTTCTTTACATGCCCAGGGAATTGCTGATCACCACTTTGGGGTCAGGAAGTCATTTTCCTCCAGGCCAATTTGGCCAGGGATCCTGGACGGTTTTTTTTGCTATCTTCTGGGCATGGAGCAATGGTCACTAGGGGTGTGGGACATCACACCGGGGACATCACGTGGCGATGCTCTGGTATTTGGGGCAGAACTCTGTGACAACCATAGAATTCTACCCAAAATACCAGAGCATCGCTGCCTGATGTCCCCGTGTGACATCATCACATCAAGGATGTCGTAAACAGCAACGTTGCCCCGCCCTCCCACTCTCGGGAAGCTCCCCCACACCCCCTGCCAGCAGAAGAAAAGGACCTGGCGACCCTAGTGGAGGAAATGCAGGAGGGGCTCATTGCTTTGGGGAGAGGAGGAGGGGATTGGATTTATACCCCATGGCCCTTTACTACCCAAAGGAGTCTCAGAGCAGCTTACAAACTCCTTTCCCTTCCCCTCCCAGAGCCAGTTTGGTGTAGTGGTTAAGTGCACGGACTCTAATCTGGGAGAACCGGGTTTGATTCCCCACTCCTCCACTTGCACCTGCTGGATGACCTTGGGCAAGCTGTAGTTCTGATAAGAGCTGTCCTTGAAAAAGAGCAGTTTGTGTCAGAGTTCTCTCAGCCCCACCCACCTCACAGGGTGTCTGTTGTGGGGAGGGGAAGGGAGAGGAGTTTGTAAGCCGCTCTGAGACTCCAAGTGAAGGGCAGGGTATAAATCCAATCTCTTCTTCTTCTTCTCCCCACAACAGATGCCCTGGGAGGTAGGCGGGGCTGAGAGAGCTCTGACAGAAACTGCTCTTTTCAAGGACAGCTCTTATCAGAACTATGGCTTGCCCAAGGTCATCCGGCAGCCGCGAGTGGAGGAGTGGGGAATCAAACCCGATTCTCCCAGATTAGAGTCCGCGCACTTAACCACTACACCAAATCAGCTGCTTTGTAGAAGAAGAAAAAGGGTTCCAGGAAATCCATTGACAGATGCTATTTTAGAAGGGATCGCCGATTTAGAAACAGTAAAGGGTCAACTGTGTAAAATATTTAAATACAGCTTTCTTAGGTAAGCTTTTGGAAGAAGATGCAGAATGGGGGGAGGAAGACCTTGGAAGGCTCAGCATCTTTTAGAAGGCCTTTCCAACTAAGGCGGATGCTTCCACCCATCTGTGCACTGGAGTAACCATGGAATACTGATGAACGGTGGGGAAAATTAAAAAGTATGCAAGGATTCCCTTCCCCCAAATTAAGGGCACAAGTGTTATTCCTAGGGGGCATAAAACAGCAGCGGACCTCTTTGAAACGCATGGTTTAATAAGTGAATTGGCAAGCTACGTGGTATCAAAAATTTAATCCAATTATTGGCGGGCGAAAAAGCACAAGAGGCCGTGTGCTGAGCTGGACATCCACAGACAAATCCAGAATTGTGAGGAAATAACTGAGAAAATCCTTCATGCGGTTGGTTGCCATGACAGGAGAGCGAAAGCGTGTTTCCTCGATGCTCCGGGGGGTTGTGGGGAAAAACAAAATCTATTTATCAGGTTTTCTTCCACGTATTTTCTAAGCAAAGGGGCAGAATGCGCTGCTGACCACTGGGCAGAGACAGCAGCTGTGTTATGAGAAAGAACTGCACATAAACCGACAAACAAGACAACATTTTGACAACACTATATTCCACGTCAGCTTCCACGGACCTGAGTGCACGCCTTCTGAGGCTACAGGCAGCCTCACGGTTCCTCCTGGTTTCTACCTCAACACGGCTACCCCTCAGACAAAAATCGATCTAACTCATGCTGAGATAAAACTCCTCAACATTATCATGTACCAACTGGGTGAAAGTAAAACACGTATCAAATCTCTGCTTGTTTGGGAGGAAGTATCTATGGCAACAGCTAATGCCTCATCGCATTAGGCCTTGAGTGTTCAGGGACCCACGTACCCTCCAGGACCACCTCCTCCAATACGTCCCCAGAAGAACACTGAAATCAGCTGACAACAACTTACTGGTGATCCCTGGCCCTAGAGAGGTCCAGCTGTCCTCAACCAGGGCCGTGGCCTTTTCGGTCCTGGCCCCAACTTGGTGGAACTCTCTGCCAAGTAACATCTGGGCCCCGCGGGATAGGATGCAATTCCGCAGGGCCTGTAAGACAGAGATGTCCCACCAGGCTTTTGGTAGAGGACAACAACGGTTAAAACCGGCACCCTCCTTTTTACTTTTGGCCACGCATCCCCTTCCCTGCCCTGCTGCACAAAGAGTGTGGCAGCCGGCAAAAAAAGGGGTTTGATCACCATCTGGATTGGTTGTTTTATTAGTGCATTGTAATGATTTTACCATGTTGATTGTATTTTATCTGTTTTAATACTGTATATCGCCCAGAGCCCTCTTGTGGGGTTGGGCGATTCAGAAATCTAAATAACAACAACAACAATAATTGCGATTGGTAGCTAATTGAGAGGGTAGCACTCTGTTTGGCTCCGCCTCTTGCAGAAGCCATTTTGAGTCTGGCTCCGCCTCTTGCAGAAGCCATTTTGAGTTTGGCTCCGCCTCCTGCAGAAGACATTTTGGAGCGGCACTTCCCCACCCCCTCCCTCTCTTAAAATTCCAAAGGTGACGGCAGGCTCAAAAAAGGTTGGGGACCTCTGAGCGGAACCCACTGGCCTGATCCAACAACGCTGCTGTGACGTTCTTCACTGTATTACCAGTTCCCAGTAAACCGCTGCCCGTATCTTTGTTTGGGGTGGATGCAATTTAAAAGTCTTGCTGGTAGGAGTTAGGCTCACTGTCCTCCGTGTTTCAACCCTTTTCCTCTCAGATCTTAAAATCTCTGAGGACTGCACGGCTACAAGAGCCACGCAGCTTCCTCTACCCCCACAGCCTTCAGTGTGCGTGGATACAGAGTCAAAGGGACACCCTTTTACTCACAAGGCATTTGGAGACAGTGGTGAAGAATAGACATAAAGTGCGGGTATGCCTCCGTGTGAGTCAGCCTCTTCCTCGTCAGCTCAAACATCTGGGTTGCGCTTTTCGTGTCTATATGGACCTGTGATGGGGAAACGTAATAAATAAGGCTAAGGACCGCGGCCCAAGAAAATCTTGCGAATCCTTTATCATCCTGATGCCAGGTGCAGCGAACAGCATCGACGGCACTCAACACATCTACTTTGTAACGAGGGGGAAGGTGGTGGCTCAGTGGCAGAGCCTCCGCTTGGCATGCAGAAGGCCCCAGGTTCAATCCTCGGCATCTCCAGTTAAAAAGATCAGGCGGAAGTTGATGGGAAAGGCCCCTTTGCCCGAGTCCCTGGAGAACCGCTGCCAGTTTGAGTAGACAATGCTGCTCTTGATGGACCGAGCGTCTTACTCAGTGCAAGGCAGCTGCATATGTAATGCTGGGTCAATGGGATCTTGGCTCCCCACATAAATGTGGCCCATACCACAGGCTGGATGGGGCTCCAGGATTTAGGAAATGGTGCTTCTTCTACTTGGTGGGCTTCCAAAATTGCCCCTTCTCACAGTCTCCTGTCCAGGATAATCAGTTATCCCTCAGTAGCAACAGAGCCCCCCCCCCATCTGTATCAAGGTTTCCAAATTCCACAACGGGGAATGCACTGTGGAGTCCAAATATGGTTAATTTTTGGCTTTTCTGGCCAGAGAATCCAAGCGCTTTCAGTGCCAGGTCCGAACCGCCAGAGATGACCTCATTTTTCTCCCCCCGCCGACAAATGGCCTTCTCCCTTTTACATTCCATTTCCAACAAAAGTAAAAGCAGCCTGTAGGTCAGGATACATACCAGCTCAAATCTTTTGGCAAACTCTAACTCGTCTTCATTCCGGAGCATCTCGAAAAAGTCTAAATGCCTTTGGGGAAGAGCGAGAGAGAAGAAACGGCACAACTGAAGGCACGGCTTTGCTCGTCTGTCCAGCTGCAATACATCTGGTTCTCCCAGGAGCAGGTAAGGTACAAAAAACACTGAGTAGGGACCCCCACAGTGACGGGGCCTCATTATAACCTTGGTTCCTTCAACGGCAGCCTTGAGGCTCTCTAGGGCCATAAGCAGAATGCGGCCATGGGGTCTCTCACTCCACCCGTCTTGGCACCGTCAAAGCATTAAAAAAGCACAACTCCCCCCCCCCCAGTTAAATTTTATGACATGACGGGGTAATTTGAAGGAGTTACCAGTGAAGGAAGGTGTTCGTGAAAGATGGGATAGAAAAATATTACTACTACTACTAGATTAGATTTATACCTTGCCCTTCACTCGGAGTCTCAGAGCGGTTTACAGTCTCCTTTCCCTTCCTCTCCCCACAACAGACACCCTGTGAGGTAGGTGGGGCCGAGAGAGCTCTGAGAGAGCTGCTCTTGAGAGAACGGCTCTGAGAGAACTTGTGACTGACCCAAGGTCACTCCAGCGGCTGCACGTGGAGGAGCGGGGGATCAAACCCGGTTCTCCCAGATTAGTGTCCGCACTCCTAACCACTACACCAAACTTAATCTCTCTCTCTCTCTCTCTCAAAAATCTCAGAACCTATATATATTTTTAAAAACTCTGAACCTGAAACATAACTCTTGTTAAATGTATAGGTTTGGGAAACTAGCAAATCACGGCACTATGAACAACAAACACAAGGACTCAGTGAGAGAGACAGAATCTGCTCGTCGTGAGGGAATCGTTCATTTTGCCATTCATTTCTTCGAAGCCCCACCCCCCAATTGCCAGGTCCTCCCCGGCCACCGGTGGGGGATAAAGGGGGTAGGGTTGCCAGATCCAGGTTGGGAAACTCATGACGATTTGGGGATGGAGCCTGGGGAGGACAGGGAACTCAGTGGGGTACAATGCCCAAGAGTCCAGCCTCCAAAGTATCAATTTCCTCCAGGGGAACTGATCTCTGTAGTCTGGAGGTGAACTGAAATTCCAGGACATCCCCGAGTCCCACCTGTATGCTGGCATCCCTACCATCATCTGGAAATGGGTGGGATTTGGAGCACTACATTAACATTAACATCATACTAACAGCTTAACTATAGCCCTGGCCCTTGGCTCTCGTCAACTAGCCTGCGCCGCCCGTGTGTTAGGAAGATCAGGAATGCAACGACGGTGGGATCTCGTGTACACTCTTCTTCTTCTTTTTTTTTAATGTTCTTATTGGTTTTGTTAGAGACATTACAGAGTGCAAACAAACATGTGAAGCCATTGTGCTTGTATGTTACAGTTAAGCTGATAACTTACAACAAATCATAATATAACTATGTACAACATACTACAAAGCACATACGTTATGCAGCACTTTATAAATTATGGCCCCTCCCAACTCTATGATTCTATGGTTATTAGGAATATGTGTGTGTGTTTTCTCTTATTTGGGATTTATACTGGTTGTATTGAGGATCGGTTCGTCTTTTGCTTTGTTCGTCTTTTGTACATGGCAAACCTTCCTGAGATGGACGATCCAGTGGCTAACAGCTATGGTGATAAATAGAAGTCGTAAATGAATGGCTATTTTTTTCCCCCTCCAAGGGTGGAACCAAAGAAATATTATACAGCATTTTGTAAAGTAATAGTACAACATAAAAATGACTAATAGCAGCCATTAATTTGTACTGCCTCTGGGAGAGCGCTGGGATTATTAAGGATAATTGGAAGGGTTTAGCCTAATTCAAATTGCTAGAAAGAAAAGTAGGCACCTCTGGGTAGAACACGACATCAAGCAGGAAAGGGAAAGGAAGCGTAAGGAAATGATGCAAAACCGAACAGAAATAACACCCAGACAGTTCACACTTACCTATCTAACGTGGAATTTTCGTGCTCCCTTAACTTGTCGATGACCGGCTGAATCCCGAGCATGAGAAATTCGTATCTAAGATGAAGTCTGAAGTCCAGACTTTCCTGGAAACAAGGAGGGAGGGAAGATGACCTTTTTGGAAAAAGCTGCTTTTAGGGGGTCTGCCCCTTGCAAGAGCGGCATAAATTAAGAGCTCACCCATGGCCTAGAGTTCCTGGATGGTGGCTCAGCTCTTGGGATACGCAAGATGGGGTGTTGGCAGGAAGGAAACATAGGAGGAACGCCAGGATACAGGAGGGGAGGAAGAAGAAGGAGAAGGAGAAGAAGAAGAAGAAGAAGAAGAAGAAGAAGAAGAAGAAGAAGAAGAAGAAGAGGAGGAGGAAGAGGAGGAGGAGGAGGAGGAGGAGGAGGACGAGGAGATTAGATTTATACCCCCTCCCTTCACTCGGAGTCTCAGAGCGGCTTACAGTCCCCTTTCCCTTCCCCTCCCCACAACAGACACCCTGTGAGCTAGGTGGGGCTGAGAGAGCTCTTTCGAGGCCTGCTCCTGAGAGAACAGCTCTGAGAGAACTTGTGACTCACCCAAGGTCACACCAGCAGCTGCATGTGGAAGAGCGGGGAATCAAACCTGGTTCTCCCAGACAGATAGTTGATGAGACACATCCCTAGGGTTGCCAACATCCACACAGTGGCTGGAGACCTCCTGCTATTACAACTGATTTCCAGGTGACAGAGATCAGTTCCCCTGGAGAAAATGGCCACTTCGGAAGTTGGGACTCTACAGTATTAAGCCCTGAACTCCGCCCTCCTCAGGCTCCACCCCCAAATCTCTAGGTGTTTCCCAACCCAGAGTTGGCAACCCGACACCTCCCCCTTACCATGAGCCACTCTCTCCTCTTACTCTGCTGCTAACCTGCTGTTTACAGATGTGGCACCTCCAATTAGGGATGGGCACGAACTGGTTCGCGAGCCAAAATTCGGCATGAACTTCGTCCAGTTCGGAGCCCCTGAACTAATGTTTGGGGGAAATGCCTTTCCTGAACATTTACCGAACTTTTGTCAGGTTCGGCTACTCAGGCCATTTAAACCTAACAGCTGAGCAGTGCGGGTCCACAGCTGAGGGGTGCACCCGCACCAGTGTTAAGCTGAAATGGCTGTCAGGAGGAGGAGGAGAAAAAGAAGATTTGGTTTTTATACCCTGCTTTTCTCTACTCTGAGTCTCAAAGTAGCTTACAATCAATGCTCCCTCTAAGCTGTGGAGTCTTGTGAGCAAAAATTCTACTTTGTGAGCACCTGGCATTATAGTGGTGAGCGAGCGATTTGGCTGCTGCATAAAGCAGTTTGCTCTGGAGCCGCCCTTCTTCCTGAGCTAAGTCAAAAATGTGTGAGCCGGAGGCCGAAAGACTGTGAGCTAGCTCCCACGAACTCAGCTCAGAGGGAACACTGCTTACAATCTCCTTCCCTGAGAGAGTTCGGAGGGAACTGGGACTGCCCAATGCCACCCAGCAGGCTTCATGTGGAGGAGGGGTAGGGAATCAAACCTGCCTCTCCAGATGAGAAGCAGAGTTGGTTTGCACATCCCACTTTTCTCTGCCCTAAGGAGTCTAAAAACTGCTTTCAATCGCCTTCTTTTCCTCTCCCCACAACAGGCACTTTGTGAGGTAGGTGGGGCCACGAAAGTTCTGAGAGAACCGTGACTTGCCCAAGGTCACCCAGCAGGGTCCATGTGGAGGAGGAGTGGGGAATCAAACCCGGTTCTCCAGATTAGAGTCCGCTGCTCTTAACCACTACACCACACTGGCTCTTATGTCTACGGTTGCCAACCTCTGGGTGGTATCTGTAGATCTCCTGGAATTACAACTAATCTCCAGGCGACAGAGATCATTTCCCCCGGGGGGAAAAATGGCCGCTTTGGAAAGTGGATTTTATGGCATTGCACCCCGTTGAAGTCCCTCCCTAAGCCCCGCCTTCCCCAGGCTCCACCCCCAAAATATCCAGGAATTTCCCGACCCAGAGCTGGCAGCCCTGCTCGCATCCCATGTCTTTTGAACAGCAAATCTAATCACAGCCGCTCTCTCCTCTGCCCGCCCGAACTCACCACTCCTGCGCCTTGACTCAGGACCGCGTTGATAAAGGACATAATGGCCGTCTTGAGGCTCACTTCATCTCGGTAGCGCCCTGTGCTTCTATCCAGGTCGTTTATTAACGTCTGTGGAATATACAGCGGATGCAAAAATAAGATCGAGGGCCAGGGAGACGTATTAGTGAAAATGAGTTTAAACATTTTTTTTTTGCGCTCAGGCTCTGCCAACAAGCACGACACGTCGAAATGTTAAAAGACCCGAATCAAATGAATCACGCAAATTGGGGGGGGGGGGGGAGGAAAGGAAGAAAAACCTCTGGACAATTCATTACTCTGCACTGTTAGATAGCATCTTGAGGTTTCTTCGCTTTTTTGGGGGGGGCTGTCAAGTCACAACCAATTTATGGTGACTCCGTAGGGCAGGGGTGTCAAACATGCGGCCCGGGGGCCGGATCAGGGTTCTATCAGGCCCGCGGTGGAACTGGCTGTCTTCTGCTGCTGCTTCCAGTTCTGCTGCTGCTGCGTCATCGTAGGTTTGCAGCTTACAGATACACACCTGAACAGCATACTCAAGATTGCAACAGCAGAGTCATTTTGATGCAAGAATTCTGAGCAAGAGGTGTCAGTTATCAGACACTGTTAAATAAACAAAATATTGCAAGAGTGCTGATGCTTTAAGCATGTTTCTATTTTAAGTTAAAAAAAACACCTTTGTGTGTGTGTCCTTTATAAAGTTTATACCTCTGCTCCCTGGCATTACGTTTTATGACACGCATGGCCCGGCCCAACAAGGTCTCACTTATGTCAGATCCGGCTCTCATAACAGATGAGTTCGACACCCCTGCCGTAGGGTTTCCAAGGTGAGTGAACTTAAGAACATAAGAGAAGCCCCAAAATGCTCACTTCTGTAATTAGAGAAGTCGAGGGTAGATACACTTGACTGGGACCACCTGATTCCACCTTGTGGCCCCAACAGATTTATCAATTTTACTGTTTATTGTTTTTTCTTATTTTAATGTGATTTACTGTAACGAGTCTTTGACTCGATTTATTGTGATCTGCCCTGAGCCCATTTGGGGAGGGTGGAATAAAAATCCCCAAATAATTTTTTTTTAAATGTGCAGGTTTCTCCCCAGAGAATGGAAGATAGATTGCTTGCAAATGTGTGTCCATTCACGCTATCTTCGCCTCTACTAAACAGATACTGCAGGTTTTTATTTTGGTTCAGGAACCTACGAAACGTGTTTGCCTAAAGTCAACAGTGGCCCGAAAAGATACGAGAAGACCTTGGGGAACGAAACTTCTCAAAATCGCATTCCCCTCTCCCCCAAAGAACTCCCCTTCTCCAACCGAACTCCCCTTCTCCAACCGAACTGAGACGAATGCCGAAAAGGGCACACAGCGGTGCGACGCTCCGTACCTGAAAGCGAGTCCTTTCGCTGGCATATTTTTGGTAATGCACCATGGCCTCCAGCACCTTCTTGTGTCCGCCGGGAACCAGGCACACAGCGCCCATGATTTCCAGCACTGCCACCTTCGTCTTGATGTTCTCCGTGCTCAGACTCTGAGCGATGACGTTGATGCTCTCCGAGTGGGCCAGGACGTGAGCTCTCCCAAGAGAGTTGTTCATCAGCGCTTTGATGCATCCGATGAGAGAGGTATGTATCCGAGACTCCGAGGTCTCATAGTCCATGCTCCTCAGGAAGTTCAGAATGCACGTCAAGCCATCCAGGTCAATGAATCTGGTTACAAACCTAGCAAAGACGACAACGTTGTCAATGTGTATTCAGGATATTCTGATCCCTCCCAACATTCCTGCCCTTGAGGATGCTCAAGGTAAAGGTTGCCCTTGCTCGAAAGCCAGTCGAATCCGACTCTGGGGGTGCGGTGCTCATCTCCGTTTCAAAACCGAAGAGCCAGCGCTGTCCGAAGACATTTCCGTGGTCATGTGGCCAGCATGACTGAACGCCAAGGCACACGGAATGCTGTTACCTTCCCACTGAAGTGGTGCCTATTTATCGACTTGCAATTGCTTGCTTTCGAGCTGCTAGGTTGGCAGTCGCTGGGGCCAGAGACGGGAGCTCCCTCCATCACGAGACACTCGGGTCTCGAACTGCTGAACTACAGACCTTCTGGTCTGCAGCTCAGCGTCTTAACCTCTGAGCTACCGTGGGGGTATTTGTGAATTTCTTGCATTCTGCAGGGGGTTGGACTAGATGACCTTGGAGGATCCCTTCCAACTCTATGATTCCATGACTGGACTGTGTACAAGTAGTTATTTATTTGTAGTTATTTATTTCTCCTTAATGGGGACCGAAAGTGGCTTACACATCATTCTCCTCTCCTCCATTTTATCCTCACAACAACCCTGTGAGGTAGAGAAGAAGGAAGAGGAGGAGGAGATTAGATTTATACTCCGGCCTTCACTACCCGAAGCACTCTCAGAGCAGCTTACAATCCCCTTTCCCTGCCCCTCCCCACAACAGACACCCTGTGAGGTAGATGGGGCTGAGAGAGCTCTTTCGAGAACTGCTCTTGAGAGAACAGCTCTGAGAGAACTTGTGACTGACCCAAGGTCACACCAGCGGCTGCATGTGGAGGAGAGGGGAATCAAACCCGGTTCTTCCTGATTAGAGTTATTTCTATCGGAGCCCATTGTGGAGTAGGTCCACTGGGTGGAGTCATTCCGCACAGGATTGCACTAGGCATCCCAGAATTGCCGGATCCAAAACACAACAGCGTGGGAATGATGGCTTTCGTACGGAATCGCCCAACACCCATCCGGTCAGGAGCCCCCACGGCAACGAAGAAAAGCTACAGCACGGACGAGCGACACCAGACAATCTCCGAAGCCCAGGCAGTTGGCGAGGGGCCAGCCAGAACAACTGGCAGCGAAGTGGCAGACCTTCCATTCTCTGCATAACCGCATGCGTGGCGAGCAGATGCCGAATAAATTATGCAGAGCACGCAAATCCATGCAAGCACCCCTGATTTGCACAATGCTATTCAGGCAGTCTTCTTTTCCCTCCTCCAAAGAAGCACAAACAGCTCTGGATGTTATTAAAAAAAGGCAATCGCCTTGCAAACCGGACCCACAGTCGTGTGGTATACAATGATGCATTAACAATATGCGCAATTGATTCAGTGTGCCACACAAGGGACTTGGAAGATCCAATGGCGAGCCAGTCAAGTCGATGAAATACATCTTTGGATAGTGTTCCGCCAAAGCCATCAGTGAGAAAAATGGCAAAAAAGTTTGAGTTAGCTTTTAAAAAATGGCTCAAAAGGAATATTGAGTCAAAGCTTGCATGGAGACAGGAGGAAATTGATGTTTGTATTGGCTCCGTTTGACAACAGAGTTCAATTCAGACATGCTAAATTCTTTCTCACACACCCCACTGGGCTCCCTAAATGCTAACAAAATTTATTCTAGGATCTGAGTAAGTAGGTGTTAAGTCTTTATTTTTTTTAATTGGTTTTTATCCATGAAAATAACAACAGAATCAAAAAGAATAAAAAGCTGGTTCTGTACGCAGAAAAAATGGCTCATATGGTAGGGGGAATTCCTCCCCGAACAAAGAAGGCTGCTTGAAGAAGGGTAATGATGGGTTCTGGGTGTAGACTTTCCAATTTCCCGGGGGGGGGGGGGGCTGGGGCTGGGCCAGAGGCATTGCTTTGCTAGGAGCAAGGGTGGCTCCCGGGGGAGGCTGAGCACCTTCCTAAAAATTTCGGCGGGGGCTAACGCCCCACCGCCCCCACGAAGATTACGCCCAGGTGTACTGGCTTATTTCAAAAGCAGATCTTTCAAAAAAGATCAGTATTTGGAGGCAAGTGGTCAATCTAATGGACAAAGGCACACCCATGCTAAATCCAATGAGCATTTTGAAGGCTGGGCTTTTGAGGTCAGACAGAGGCTGCTAAAGATTAAAAATTCTGCAGTGTTCTGCCACTGCAGGATTTCTATAGCTAAATATGTTTTATTTTTCAAATATTTTCAAAGTCTAAAGATTTTCAAAGGATAAATGGACACAAATCTGACGTCAAGAATCACAAAATCGAGAAACCTATAGGAGAACATTTGGACCTCCCAGGGCACTCAATGAGGGACCTCAAAGTAGCTGGGGGTTTTGCAAAGGAATTTCAGAAACAGATTGGAATGGGAGATTGCTGAATTACAAATTATTATGACACTCAGGACAGTGTTAACCCCCAGGGCTTAACACAGATATCAGGCTCTTATCTCACTACACGTGCTAAGTCACTCAGTCCTCACTTATACCCAGAATTAAACTTTGTAGGTCTTAAAGGTGACACTGGACTCAAACTTAGTTCTCACATCTGTTTGTTGGTCTTAAAGGTGCCACTAGACTCAAATTTAGTTCTCACGTCTGTTTGCGAACTATTTTATTATCTGTATGCTAATTTGCTGCTATTCATAGGTCTTACCAACTGCTTTAATCAAATCTTAGCTATACCAAAAGCTCAGTTACTTATGCATCTTGACTTTAACTAGACCTTCCTGGCAATTAATCCCCCCCACCTATATGTAATGCTCTTGTTTCAATGTACCTCAAGAAGTGTGCATGCACATAAAAGCTTATACCCAGAATTAAACTTTGTTGGTCTTGAAGGTGCCATTGGACTCAAACGGTATTCTGTTTTCAAGGTCTGAGATTCTAAGTATTAATTTTAAAGTTTCATCGCACTTCTCAAATTATCTTGGCAAACACTGGATTCTCTAGCACACTGTAATGCGGAGTCTCACAATATCGAACAGGGAAATCTAGCAACTCCCTTGGGCCTCTTCATTAATTCCAGCAAACGTTGCATGGATCGGAACTTCATAGAAATGATTATGAAAGATCAGCATATAAACCCTTATGCAAGGGAACTGGTGAGGGGGAAGCAAGGATTCTGATAACAGTACGAGGAGTATTATTTACCTCATAGGTTTGGTCCTCAATGCGGTCTTCAGACTCTCTATGGTTTTGTTCCTCTCTTCTTCATCTTCTTTTTCCAAAGCGATCAATGATTTTCTCTGCAACAGAAAGGGGGGGGGGAGATTAGTGAAGGCCAAGTCGCTGGCAAGTATCTCACAGAGGTCCGAAACCACCAGGCCATGACTAAGGGGCTATGTGAAGAAATGCCTTTTTTCCTAGGAGGTCTGAAATGAGCCAAACCTCCACGCTGCGTTTTTACCATTTTGTTTTCTCTGGGCAAAGACCAGGGTTTTTTTTTTTGGGGGGGGGGTCCAATTACTTCCCAGATGTACCTCAGCTCACCTCCATGCAAACGCAAATCAATCTAGTAGGAGATAATAGGTGGGTCAAGCTCTTCCCCTTCCTTAAGCAGGGAACAGAGATTGGAGGGCTTTAGGCTAGAATGGATCCAGGAATAATCTCCAGGAAGAAGCCCTAGGGAATGCTTCTCTGACCGGGCATGACCTGGTCAGTGGGTGGAGAAAGAGATATGATAAAAACTCCTTGCAACAGGAAATGAAGTCTCTTTTCCTTGGGTGCTGAGGCCATGAGAGGAGGCAGGACTACCAACTAAGGAGGCAGCCATTGTCCATGTGGTTAGCCTACAGAGTTGAAGGGAGCTTCAACGTAATGGTGACTATATAGAGATCTGTAACTTTTTAAAGCTAAAGAACCTATCCTATATTTTAACATGTATAGGTCATGTATAGAGATAGGGACAGAGGAATTGTGTTTTTACTCCTTTCTTTTGTATCCCTTGCTCAAATCTGGTGCTGTGCTACAAATATACTTATGAACATTTTCTTTTTAATAAATACTTTATAACTTTTGAAGCTGGCAGTGGTTCTCTGTACCACTTAGGCCTCCACCGTCTTGGACACGCTATTTTAAAAGGAGTGCCCGGAGGAAGGAAGGCAGTTAGCAAGTGTCTATTCCTCCAAGGGCGCAAGGCAGTAAACTGTCCCCATGGTGACCGGGTGCTGGACAGCGGGAGTCACTGAGGCAAAGGCCTCAGAACCTGGAAGGGAAGCGGGAAGTCCTGACCCGCCCAGTGGGTAATTCCTGCAAAGTCAGGTGGTGGTTGCGGGCTACCCTGAGACTGGAAGAAAAACCTCTCCAGCCCGGAAAATCTACAACAACTGATAGACTCCGGCCGTGAAAGCCTTCGAGAACATATAACCTCTCCAGGTGTTGAGAAAAACCTAGGAGGGCAGGGTGGAATAGAGACTTCAGGCCAGAGCAGGTGCACTCCGCCACAGGCTAGGGAGATCAGTGGCGGGCCATAGGATTTAAGGACAGGAGGCCCTGGCTTCTAGCCCAGCTCGGGAGAATCTCAAGTAGAGTTGCCAGGACTTACCTTCACCCCGGCGTGGGGTTCCACCCTGGCTCCAGGACTCTTCTGGTGTGTGTACTGCAATGATGACACCCAGAAGTGACGTCATCACACTGGGCATGTCGTTCAGGGAACGTTCTAGTGTTCGGGTAAAAACTCTATGGTCACCATAGAGTTTTTACCTGAATACCAGAGCGTCCCCCACACAACATGCCCCGTGCAGTGATGTCACTGCCTGGTGATGTCATTGCACTGGGCACTTTGGAAGCCCAGGATTCTTCAGGGGTGGGGCTCCACAGCTGGCCAGCTGGCCGGCAGCAGATTGGGCCCCCCAAAACTGAGGAACCCCATCCCCCATCGGGGGGTTGGAAACCCTAATCTCAAGTAGGTGGCAGCCCTTGACAGACAGCACAGATAACAGTGAAACAGGTGCACCAATGACCTGTTGTCATTTAAACGGGCAGTAGATTCGGGATGGGCAAAAGGAAATACTTCTTTACACAGGGAGTGTTTAAAATGTGGAACTCGCTGCCAGAGGATGTAGTGATGGCCACAGGCATAAAACAGCTTTAAAAGAGGATTAGGCAGATTCATGGAGGAGACGTCTATCAGTAGCTACTACTCTGAACCTCTGCATTCACAGGCAGTCAACCTCCGAATCCCAGAGCCAGGAGGCAGCGTCAAGGAAAGGCCTCGGCCTCTGTGCCCTGTTGTTGGCCCTCCAGAGGAACTGGCTGGCCCCTGTGAGAGACAGGATGCTGGACGAGATGGGCCACTGGTCTGATCCAGCAGGGCTCTTCTTATCTAAAAAAGGCCTTGGCCTCTCTGCCCTGCTGTTGACCCTCTAGAAGAACTGGTTGGCCACTGTGTGAGACAGGATGCTGGACTAAATGGACTACTGGTCTGATCCAGCAGGGCTCTTCTGATGTTCTAATGAAGGCCTCGGCCTCTCTGCCCTGTTGTGGGCCCTCCAGAGGAACTGGTTGGCCACTGTGTGAGACAGGATGCGGGACTAGATGGACCACTGGTCTGATCCAGCAGGGATCTTTTTTAAAAGTACTCTGTATTTCTGTGTGCGTGTGTGCATGTGCTTGCATGCCTGGATGTCACGGTGACTTCTGGCGACCCCTAGTGGGGCTTGGAAGTTTTCAGAGAGGCGGCTTAACAGCCTGCCTCTGCCTCCCAGCCTTGGTATTCCTTTGGAGGTCTCCCTTCCAAGTACTTTGCCAGGGTCAGCCCTACTTAGCTTTCGCGATATGACAGGATCGGGATTGCCCGGGCTATCCAGGTCAGGGCTGGCAGGGCTCTCCTTATGCTCTTACGACACATGGACACAGGACTGCCTCTGAATATGAAGATTCCCTTTAGCTAGTAGCCGCTGATAGACCTCTCTTCCATGAATCTGTCTAATCCCCCTTTAAAGCTGTCTATGTGATGGGATTCTTTTTGAGTAAGTCAAAAATATAAAATATAAAAGGTTTACTATAAACCTAACATGGGGAAAAGGTACACAGGATATGAAAATAACAAAGAGCTAATATGTCTACATCCTTACAGCTAAAGGTAAAACAGGAAGAGCCGAACGGCGTCTCATTCTCTAGCCTAACAAAGAACGGGAGGAGAAGCCAATATGCTAAATACTTGACACCTTGGTTTCCAATCAGACTAGCAAACTAGCTCCAAAGTTCCCGGGCATCCTCTTGTCTAAACAGATTGGTTACAAACAAACATGTGACTTAACAAACATAATTAACCCTGTAAATACTGAAGTGTTTTGACTTGTAACACCCAACACTATGCCTATGGCCATCACCAGTGTTCCCCCTAAGCTGAGTTAGTGTGAGCTAGCTCACAGTTTTTTTGGCCTCCAGCTCACACACTTTTGCCTTAGCTCAGGAAGGGAGAGCTCCGGAGCAAACTGATTGATGCAGCAGCCAAATCGCTCCCTCACCACTTTAATGCCGGTAGCTCACAAAATAGAATCCTTGCTCACAAGACTCCACAGCTTAGAGGGAGCACCGGCCATCAGTACAACCTCTGGCAGCGAATCCCACATTTTAATCACTCTCAGGGTGCATTCAGACGGGGCGTTTCAGCCAGCATAAACTGTACCGGTTGGAACCGGTGCAGTTTATGCCGGCTGAAACGCGATCACACTTACCTCCTGTCTGCAGAGCCCATCGCAATACGCCCGTCCACACTCGTCGTCGGCTTGTTTTTTTTAAACTTAGTTTGCGCATGCGCACAGGCAGCCATCCATAGAAAGGCGATCTTCGCGCATGTGCAAAAAACCCTGTCTTACATTTAAACTTTAAAGGTAAGGACTTACCTTTAAAGTTTAAAGAGCACAGTAGCCTCCCTGAGGTCCCGGACGCCTCCGAAACGCTACAATAAGGCCCTTTTCTTTTCTTTTTAAACAAACGGCAGGGCGAAGCTTCGCCCAAGCGCCTATCGCTGTCCTTTTAAAAAAAATGGTGGGCAAAAATCGGAAGCCTCAGGCTTCCGAACGGAAGTAGCTGTGCAACGTTGGAGAGTGATCAGACGGCGGGGTACAGCATTTACAACCGTTGTACTCAGGATACCAAAACTTGGGTGCAACGGTGTAAAGGGCTTTACAACGGTTAGGGACAGGAGGCAGATGTTTGCCGCCTGAACGCCGGTGAGTACACCGGTTGGAACTGGCACCTATACCGTTGTAAATCCCCCGTCTGAATGCACCCTCTGTGTAAAGAAGTATTTCCTTCTGAATCTACTGCCCATTGGCTTCATTGGACGTCCTCGAGTTCTAGAATTCTGGAGAGGGAGAAAAAGTCCTCTTTGTCCGCCCTCTCCGCTCCATGTCTAATTTTACAGATCTCCATCATGTCCTTGGTTCCCTCTAAGCTGAGTCAGTGTGAGCTAGCTCACACATTTTTAGCCTCCGGCTCACTTATTTTTGTCTTAGCTCACGAAGGAGGGCTCCAGAGCCAACTAACTGACGCAGTCGCCAAATCGCTCCCTCAGAACTTTAATGCTAGTAGATCACAAAGTAGAATTTTTGCTCACAGGACTCCACAGCTTAGAGGGAGCAATTAGGGCTCTTTTTATAGCAGGAACTCCTTTGCATATTAGGCCACACACCCCTAATGTAGCCAATCCTCCAAGAGCTTACAGAGCTCTTCTCACAGAGGCTACTGTAAGCTCTTGGAGGATTGGCTACAGTAGGGGTGTGTCGCCTAATATGCAAAGGAGTCCCTGCTACAAAAAGAGCCCTAGGCTCTTCAGTCTATCCTCAGAGAGAAGGTGCTCCAACCCCCTAGATCAGGTGATTTCTTGCGAGGGAAAAAATAAGTTGTTGTTGTTCCCGCTAAAGCCGTCTGAGACGGTGATGCGGTTGGACAGCTGTCACCGGGACGGTTAAAGGAGGAAGCTGCCCTCCAGAAATGTTTAACTAGTGATGTCATCCTTCCATGCCAGCAATCCCCCCCATATAAAAATTCATTGGGGGCAAGGTCCTCCGCGGAGCGCAGCTGAAGTGTTTTATGTGCAGCAGGGACCGTGAACGTTTGCAAGGCGTTTTACGGCTCCAGCAGAACGCCGGCCACATCTGAGGAGCGCGATTTTGCAAGTGATGTCCAGATTTTAACCACAGGGGGGGGGGGGGGGGGGGGAGGGGAGATGATTTAAAATATTCCACGGGTCGGGCTGCCCTGCATGCTGCGGTCGAGGACGCAACCCCCCAAAAAG